TACGAATTTTGTTTGCATGATGTAATCATGTGGATGAAGTAAGTAATCAAAGTTTTCTCATTCACAAGAGTTCTGAATATTTCGAAATTGTGGTAGAAAAGTTTATACCACATTTCGAGGGGGAGAAATGTAAGATTAATTAAGAAAGACAATTAAGAAAGATATTTCCCCATACTTCAGATAATGCAATGCATACTATGCATTGAAGGTAAAAGTGATCTATAAAAGATGATTGTGATCGTTGAGGGAGTAAGACGGTCATAATAATGATACCCCTAAAGTAAAGAAATAGTTAAATTCCTAGACCTTTTTATAGTTTCGATAGGAAGATAGCATAGTCGGCTAGTATTTATACTTGACGAGTTCAGAGTTATCAAGGCGGTGCTAAACGCGCCATATGAGTTTTTTAGCAGATTAAACCCAAAATAAGAAATTTGAAGATACACAATCTTTAGAAAAGATGGAGTAATCTGGGGGAGCATGGTATGTAGATACCTAAGGCTTAAATAGAAGTGGGATTACATATCCACTACAGTGTTTTTTAGAGCATCAAATTGCTTAATACATGTTGATGTTGTATGGGTATACAACACCTGATGTTAGCTCTTAAAGAAGATGAATAAGTAAATAAGAATCTTATATTACAGGAGGCTATAGAACAATTGCCTTTTGACAATGAAGAGTAACAATAGCCCCATATGAAAGAAGTGCCACGAGGCCCTAGAAGGTCTCAAAGAATAAGAAAATCAGATATTTCTGATGACTAAGAAGTCAATATTAAGAAAGAAATTCAAATAGAGGATAATTTCACCTCATTTGAAAAAGCCATGAGAGGCGTTCACTCGTCTAAATGGCAAGAAGCAAATGAAGATGAAATGAAATCGATAAATACCAACGATGTTTGGGACTTAGAAGTAATTCCCAACGAAGCCAACACAGTAGGCTGTAATGGGTCTATAAGACAAATGTGACTCCAAAGGAAATATGAAAAGCTATAAAGCACCACTTATGGCGAAATGATTTACACAAAGAGAAGGAATAGATTATAATAAGCTTGTAAGGATTCTTTTATAATCATAATGGTATTAGTGGCACATTACGATTTACAGTTACATCAGAAGGATGTAAAGACACATTCCTCAACGAGGATTTGTATGGAAACGTTTATATGGCATAACTCAAAAGGTTTTATCGTGGAAGGAAAAGAACGTAAAGGGATGTTGCCTAAAGAAATCCATTTATGGATTAAAGCAAGCTTCAAGACAGTGGTTCTTGAAGTTTGACAGTACAATAAGAATGTTTGGGTTTTAAAGAGAATGTAGAGGATAATTGTATTTATGCAAAGTTTAAACATGGGAAATTTATTTTCCTAATCCTGCATGTGGGTAGCACCTTACTCGCTAGTAGTGGTGTTAATCTACTGTTGGAGAAGAAACAGTTCTTGTCCTCAAGTTTCAATGAGAATGGTCTTGGTAAAGCATCATTCGTTCCAGGAATCGAAACTTACCGAGATAAAAGGAAAAGGGGTATTAGAACTATCTCAAGTGTATACTTAGAGAAGATTCTAAAGAAATAAAGTATATATGTGAATAAACCTGCGCCTGTTCCTATAGTGAAGGGTAATAGTTTTCGGAACTTTCAGTGTTCCAAGAATAAATGTGAGATCGATCAAATGGACGTCCTATATGCTTCAGCTGTTGGAAGCTTACTGAATGTTTATAAGCAAGAACTTACCCTTACACAGTTTATGTATCCGGGATGTTTTAGCAGAAGTCCAGTCCAGATGTAGATCACTGGAATGGAGTTGAGAATGTTTTGCAATTGTGCAAAGATTTATAGGCCTCATGGTGAGTAAGAAAGAATAAGTACTCTCAAATAGTTGTGGGTACAAAAGTTAAATTTTGGTGAGATATTTAGTGAAACCCACATAGTAGCTAACACTCACAGTTAGAGTTTTATTGTGGAAAAGCTCCAAAGAAACAGTTGTGGTGTCATCAAAGATGCATAACCATGTATAGCTTGTTATGAGGCTTAAGGACAGGTGAAATGGTTAAAAGAACTTACACCCGGAATTGATAATGGTATTCAACAACAATAACCATTTAAGTAGTTCGCTCCTATAACAACGGTCAAGTGTGCTGCCAAACACATTGACGTTAAAGTTATACGTTGTGAAGGAGAAAGTTCAGAATCATACTAAAAGTATTGAACATAAAAGTAACAAGCAAGTGCTTGCGGATCCGTGTACAAAAGGCTTACCACCCAGTGTGTTTGGAGAACACACAGTCGACATGGGTTTATGGTATAGCCTATGATTTCCGGACAATAAAGGGCCCAAAAGTTGAAGAATCTGTTTCAGAATAGAGACGTGTATTGTAGCTGTTAAGTCTATCGGCGATTGACCGTGACGATGAAGCATGCTCTATGCACTAATCCGTGATGGAACAACTAAAAGTAAAAAGGATTAAAGTCAAAGTTTAAAGTTAAAGTATGAGTTGAGATCAAGGGGGAGAATGTTAGAATTGATCTCATCCGTCTTGACCCAACGGTCGAGACGGACCCCTTGACCGCGTCCTGATCGGGGACGTCCAACCATCTACTGACTGGTGGGCCCCCGTCGCACGGTGCCTATAAAGAGGAGGTGGGGCAAATGGCTCAGGGAATGAGGTTCACCGCCGCCACAGCCCCACTGTCCTAACCCTAATCCGATCCAGAGGGTGGCACTGCCAGCGGCGGAAAGCGCCACTGCCTCCACCACCGCCGGTCTCTACAGCTACACCAAACGTTGCTGCCCTAGCACAGATCATCACCGGCGAACCAGCGAAGGCATGGAGCTCCTCCGACGGTCAGATGCTCCTACATCTCCCTCTCTCTCAGTCTCCTACTCCCGAAGCAAACTCTGGATCTATGTGTTCGAATGGAAGTCAAAATACCCATTGATCTACTCCTAGTCGATCCAAAAGAGTTTACAGATCCCGTCACGCAGCGGTATCTCTCGGTGGTGGCGGGTGTGCGCACGCCGAGGGCTACCGCCAAAGACCAGCTCGTCATCGTGCTAGTTCGCCGGTGATCGCGATTCCACTGCTCGGTGGTGGCTGCACGCAAATGGTGGGGAGTAGAGAGCGGAGGCGGCGAGCAGAAGCGGGTGGCGGCAAAGAGCAGCGAGTCACTTGCGTGAGATCGAGACGAAGTCTTTGGAGATGCCAGCTTCTGTTACCGTTTCTGCACGCTCGATCAAAATCCGACGGCTGAGAAAAGAGCGGGCTACGTGGCTGAATCAGGTGCCTGTGACCGTTTCTGCATGCTCGATCAAAATCCGACGGCTGAGAAAAGAGCGGGCTACGTGGCTGAATCAGGTGCCTGTGACCGTTTCTGCACGCTCGATCAATTTGAAGAAAAAGCGGCTACGTGGTGAATCAAAGTGAGCGTGTGGTAGTCTTGATTTCGTCTGGTAAATCTTGTAAAAGATTCTTTTGCTATTGTACATATCGTTTATTTAGAATAATAAATATAGATCTGGATATCGTTATTTTTTTCCTCACATCTGAAGTACAAGTTGTAGTATCTAAACACATGTCCAAACACACACCACACATAACCCACGCACACCACACACGCCTCTAAAGGGCACGCTAGACCCAAACCTTATACATCCATACCCGTCTACGAGAGCACCCCTAAGACGCACGCTAGACCCAAACCTCCTCTAGCGACGCGCGCGTCACCTCCCATTGTGAGACGTAGATGCTTGAGGATCCATTGATTATGGACATATTCGTTTGTTTTATGAGTCGTACTATTTTAGCTACTATTTCAGCAAACGGGTAATGTTTTTCTCTCACGACAAATCAGCGAACAGTACTTTCAGCCATGTGTTTTCATGAGCGAACAGAACCTATTTATGGAGGAAAACCCCGATAAGGCACATGAGTTAGATCTAAGTGATTGAACCCACGAGCGGTTGCTCCACCACCGAAAGACTCAACCAACCGGGCTGGCGCTCGGTCCTCGATCTGGATGTCGTTAGGAAAAGGAAATCAAAGAGTACTACCAGACTAGAAGATGGAGAAATAACGAAAAGGGGAGTATGCCACGTAACATGTTTATTACCCGTTCAGACTGACCAAAGCTAGTACTCCCTCCGGTTCTCTAAAGCAAGTCGTTTTGGACATCGATATGGTCTTTAAGAAACGACTTTGACTGCAATTTTTTGCTATAAAATATTTATAAAATATAGTCAATATATACTTTTATGAAACTACAATTCGAGATAAATCTACTTATATCACTTTCATATTTTCAAACTCAACTCAAAAGAAGTTATTTATAGTCAAAGTTTAAAATGTTTAACTTAAGACAACCTCAAAACGACTTATTTTAGAGAATCGGAGTGAGTACTAAGTACAAGGGATTCATGAAACGGAACCAACTGTTTCAGCGTGTGGGCAGCAGCAATGCAGAATTTTCGTTTCCTTGCTACCACTGTACTTAAATAGGAGAACCCCACTATAGAATTTTCCTGGCTTCTCGTGAAGCCACGTATCATCATGTATCCAAAGGTCAATTGTTAGTGGCGGCAACTATGCAATCGCGTCAGTTAATTTCTTTTGACGTTTCTCCGCCTCGCATGCAGATCAGCACATACAAACGGCTGAAGCTCTGTATCAATATTCTATTGCGCTTCTCCGCACATTCTGATTTGAAACGTCTTCCCTATAAAATGAAATCCTCACCATCCGCAGCTACCTGGTAGCCAAGGGGTCACTTTTATTGCATGGAGTCTATTGGCGCGGGTACACGAAAGAGATGGAGACGGGCCTGTTCGGTCGGTATTAAAGTCGACTGAAGCTGTTTTGTTATGAGAGAAAATACTGTAGATTCTAGCTGATATTAGCCGACTGAAGCTGTTTTGTTATGAGAGAAAAATACTATAGATTCTAGCTGATAAGCCGACCGATAAACGAACGTGCCGCGCTGCCGACTCCACGAGCCTACCGGCCATGCCGGCGCAGCCACCCACGCCCATCGGCCCATGTCTCAACCTTGGGGCTGATCAAAGCAGCGAGGGGGATGTGGGATTGGCGCTGAGCTCCAGTACTCCAGGACATCCGCGTCGCAGAAGACGCAGAGCCGCTATACGCGCCAGGTGGCGAACTCGAACCAGGGTCCGTGCCGGGCGGCGATATGGCCATGAACGTCGGCTTGAGTTCCTACCTGTTCGTGGCAGAGGGACGGATCAGCAAGCAATTGGACCTTTCCTAAGAGAAAGACCCACCTTAATGTTGAGGTTAGTCACAACAACTCTGACGATGAAGACTGTTACTTAGATCGAGTAGTACCACCGTCATCCATGTCAATCAAGCGATACATGCTACCTTGGGCTCTGATCGGCCGATCTACAAGCCGTTTATGTTGATTTATACGGCTAATTTGTTGAGAAAGAAAAATACGGTACCATGGCTGATAAGTCGACTTATAATGGCAGCCAAACATATACTCGATTCTCTCCCTCCTTTCTATGGTTTCGCGGAGTTGTTGATTTTCAGGTATATGCTAATTCATTGGCAGTACTTTATTCCTATATATGTACTCTCTCTTTGCTTGATTAATCTCTCTCACTAATGAAATTATCATATGACTATCTTTGTTCTTTTTTCAGAAAAATATACCTCTGATGAATGTAAAAAGTAATAATGTATGGAGGTCTATTTGGATTACTGTATGCTCAAAATTATCTTTACTAAATAAGAGATTTGTGATGTCTGGAACTCTACAAGATCTTTGCATTCAAAGAAAAGAAATATGTTGTATAATTTGTATCAATGATTTAGACATCTATGCTCCTCAAACTTCTTGGCATTAGTTGCCGTGTCATTCATGGTTATCTCTTTCCCTCCTGTATTCAATATCCTTTTTTTTATGGTGTTGCTCCTTTTCCGATTCCTATCCTGCAATCAATAGCTTTAGGAGTCCTAATGGCATTGTTTCTCTTTGATTACTCTTACCAAATTCATACTATTTAACATGTGCATATTTTCTTTGAGGGTTTCACTATTTCTTGCTCTATGAGTCCAACATTACAAAATTCCCGCTGTATTATCTAGTTAATTTAACTCGGGATTCATGAAACGGAACCAACTATTTCAGCGTGTGGGCAGCAGCAATGCAGAGTTGCAGAATTTCGTTTCCTTGCACCACTACTCTAGAAATTAATTTAACTCGGGATGGAGGGAATATTATTTTGGTACGGCGCAACTCACGAGGAACCCATGGCATGGACACGCCCCACCTTCGCATCCAGTTGTCGATTGATAGTCTAGCTTGTGAGGAACCACCAAAGTTTTAGGAAGGGTTCACACCTCTCGTAGGCGGCCGCAACTTTGTTTATATATAGGATGAAAGCCAGATTAATCTACAAATATACGTAACAGATTAAATTAATCAACAATCAAGATATGATTTGGCCAGATTAATAATCTATAAATATAACAGGTTTGATACACCACATTCTATATACATTGATCCGGCCAAATCGTATCTTTGATTGTTTCCTAACACTAACACGAGTGATTACATTGATCATATTTCTAACACAGCTCAGACAGCGTGCGTTATTTGAATACTACGTACTCCAACGTGCCGACCTTGACGGACGCACTCAAAACTCGGGCAGTCCGACACATCCCCGCCGTTGGTGCGCATATTCGGCTTGTTCGGCTTCTTTTTTCAGCCGAACAATGTTTTTCTCTCACAACAATTCAGTCGGAACAGTGTTTTCAGCCAGTTTCAATCAAGTTTCAGACCAGCGAACAGGGCCTAAATAGAAATCCGAGAACAACAACCACTAGACACCTTCATGAGGGCCGACTGGCGGAAACTGACGTTAGCAATGGGGAAGAACAGAGAGGCTTGGGGAATGGAAATGGTGGGTCAGGGCGTCCGATCGTCAGTACGCTCCGCCTACCCTCTGCGCCACCGCCGCTAAGCCCACCCGTCCTCTGCGCCACCACCGCTCATGCCGCCCCACCCTGCCCTCTATGTGCCGCCGCCCAGATCTGTGTTGCCGAGCGAGCACACCGGTGACCTCTCGCGCCACCCACCCGTCCTCTATGCCACCGCCACCCATGCCGTCCCTACCCTGCCCTTTGTGCGCCGCCGACGAGCACACCGGTGATCTCCATGCGCCGACGAGCCTCCATTCACCGAAGCAGTATAGAGATGTTTGCGCTGAAAGAGCATGTTGCAAACGTATGCTAAGTGTTTCATGTGTTTCTGAGGTATGTTGCAAGAGTTTTATATCCATGTTGCAAAACTAGATTGGGATGTTGCAAAAGTAGATCGAGATGTTGCACATGTTGCAATGGATACACATGTATGTTTCAAGTGTATGTTCTAAATGTTTCATCTGTATTAGACATATGTTGTCAGTGTTTCATCTGGATGTTGCAAAAGTAGATCTGAATGTTACATATATATGCATATTGCAAGCGTATCTTTCAAGTGCTTCATATGTATGGTGTAAGTGTTTCATCTGGATGTTGCCTATGTTTGCAATGGCTTTCAGGTGTTTTGCAAGTATTTTAGACGTATGTTGCAAATGTTTCAGCTGTTTCGGACGTATGTTGCTTGTGTGTTTATCTAGGTGTTGCAAAAGTAGATCTGATGTTACATATATTGCAATGGGACCCACTTGTTGCTGCTCCTGGGGCGCCGCCAAGCGGGCGCATACAGGCGCATGAGAAACCGAGCGCAGGTGTGAGGGCCCACGCAGTGGGGCATGCGAAAAACAGGCGGCACGAGCTCCATTTCTCTTGTGCGTGAGACACCATCCGATGCTAGCGCTCTGAATTGGACGTCCGGACTTGGGGGGCTACTAATGATGACATGACACCCGGTATCATAGAGCTAGGACATAATCGGCACAACTAGAGCTACTCCCTCGTCCTGAAATATAAAGAATCTCAAGTTCAAATTTGTTCCAAAGTATAAGGTATTCTAGGTGAACAAACGCTAAGACAATTTTCACAAGCATAATAATCATTAATGTCTATCACGAACCTATGGTAATTAGGAAGTGTTATATATACGTCATTTGGTTTACTGCATAATAGGCTCTACAAATTAACTTGGATAGTGTATTTTAGGACAGGGGGAGTGGATAACAAGTCAGTTTTGCTCGTTAAGATTTGAGAGATTCCAAGGTAAATGCCCGCTTTTTTTAGGAATAAGAAAGGAAAACGAAGAGTCAAATCAAAGATGAAAGATATCAGGTACTAACTGGGGAAGCAAATATATTAGGAATCCGGGAGTGAATCCAACTCCAAATCCGATGCTACCCGATCCTCCAACGAAACGGAAAGGAATGTTACTCGGCGTTCATGAATCATGACGGAAGGCGGCGCAGAGCACAGGCGTCTGATGCCAAATAAACGATCGGAGTTCTCCTATTCTTGCCTCGCTCTGGCAACGTGTTTAATTGGGGGCTCTAGCCACTCCCTCGATCAATCTCGCCGTCTCCCTCGTCCATTCCAGCCTCGATTGGCAGCGTCGTCCTGTAGCTGTAGCGCTGCACCAGCGCTCTGCAGGCTGCACATGTATGTATGTATGTATGTATGTATGTATGTATGTATGTATGTATGTATGTATGTATGTATGTATGTATGTATGTATGTATGTATGTATGTATGTATGTATGTATGTATGTATGTATGTATGTATGTATGTATGTATGTATGTATGTATGTATGTATGTATGTATGTATGTATGTATGTATGTATGTATGTATGTATGTATGTATGTATGTATGTATGTATGTATGTATGTATGTATGTATGTATGTATGTATGTATGTATGTATGTATGCGCCATTAGTGTACGCGTACCTGATGCAAATTAATTAAGCTGCGCGAGTTCATGCCATAGCATTGTCTTGAATGTTTGGGAGTACTTCTGTTTCTTGAGAACAGAGAGTTACTAGTTCGGGTGTCTTCTAGGGGAGCGAAAGAGCTATAGATTCTTCGATCTCGATCTTCTCTCTAGTGACTCTCTAAAGCAAGCAATCGTGCATTAGAACTTGCTAGTCAAGCCTAGGACGAGACAAGTTATCTGGATAAACCGCTACGGCTTGCCTTTAACTCGCCTGGACCCAATCATTGTTGCAAACAAATATTATCGCCGTGTTTTAGTCAGACCATGATCTGCGCCGTCGCTAAAATAGCTGAATTATTTCGACGACAGACAGAAATGCGGCACTGTTCCATTGCTTTTCGTTTCGTGCATCCATCGCTAGCTGATCTCTCAATAATACTAGCTAGCTAGCTACTACTATAAACACACTACCGATTCATGTCGTTCGGTGTGGTTCTCTCCTATCTGTGCCGATCTCAGAGGTCACCGCAGGGCAGATTTTGCTGTTGCTGCCAAAAGGAGTTGCCAGCAGCAGGCAGCAGCATGGCAAGAAGACCAGGGGCAGAGACAGAGAGCTGGGCACTGCCGGGCATCGGCCGCGGTGGCGTTTCTGGCGACCTTCTCCCGGCATTCGGCGAGCTCTCCCCTTCCGTCGGGAACAACGCCATCAACCCTTACGACTGCAGCTACAGGTGCGGTAGACGGTTGCTGCGCATGCAGATATAGGGGATACCATGCCACATACGCGTCCGCGCGCACTGACGCCTGCCAGGGTCTATCAGGTGGTGGCAGGGGTTCCTGATCGTGCTGGTGCTCTACTCGGCGTGGTCGTCGTCGTTCGAGCTGGCTCTCGAGAAGGCCGCCACCACGCCGCTTCTCGTCGTGGACCTGATCGTCGACGTGTTCTTCGCCGTCGCCTTCTTCGTCGCCTACTTCGACAGATCCGCCAATCTCTTCGTCGACGACCGAAGGAAGATCGCCACCACGTAGTATTTTAGCATTAGTTAACTGATCGACCATCAATCTTATGCACGTACAAACTGTGTACGCCAAATAAAAAACATGCTTGCGTGCACGGTGCATTCATTACTCATCAGGTACCTCGCACGGCCGTCGTTCGCAATGGACGTGGCCTCGACGGTCCCGTTTCACGTAATCTACCGGCTGGTGAGCGGCAGGAGCACTGGATTCAGGTACCTCAACCTTCTCCGGCTGTGGAGACTACAGCGCGTCAGTAAGCTCTTTGCAAGGTACGTACGCCATGCTTCTCTTCTTCTCCATGCATGTGCCTTGTGCAGTACACATCCTATGTATTCCTGCAGGTTGGAGAAGGACATACGATTCGACTATTTCTACACCAGGCTCATCAAACTCTGCGGCGTGACGTTGCTGGCGCTGCACTCCTCGGCGTGCATCTTCCTGTGGATGGCGTTCCACCACGGGCACGGGGACGAGGAGCACACGCACACCTGGCTCGGCAGCCAGGTGCGCGACTTCGAGGGCCGCAGCGTCTGGGTCAGCTACACCTACGCGGTGTACTGGTCCATCACCACGCTCGCCACCGTCGGGTACGGCGACCTGCACGCCGTCAACCCCGGCGAGATGGTGTTCGCCACCTGCTACATGCTCTTCAACATCGGCCTCACCTCCTACATCATCGGCAACATGACCAACCTCGTCGTCCACGCCGCCACCAACACCTTCAAGATGGTATAGTATGTGTAGATGCCTCTCGCACGTGTCTGCCATCATCGGCAACATCATAAGGCGGTGAAGTCTTGATGCATGTTTGCTTTGGCGGCACGCAGAGGGACATGGTGCGGCGAGTCTCGACGTTCGGGAGCGTGAACCGGCTGCCGCCGGAGCTGAGAGAGCAGATGATGGCGAGCGCGCAGCTGAGGTTCAGCACGGGGGAGGTGATCCAGCAGCAGCTGCTGTCCGACCTGCCCACGGCGCTCAGGTCCCGGGTCGCGCACCACCTCTTCAGGGACACGGTCCAGCGCTGCTACCTGTTCCAGGGAGTCTCCAACGACCTCGTCCTACAGCTGGTACATGAACATTCGCACGCACTCGATTCGATCCATAGCCCCCAGTGACCTGACCACCATGACCTCGGGATGCGTGCAGGTTTCAGAGATGAGGGCAGAGTATTTCCCTCCCAAGGCGGACACTGTCCTCCAGAAAGGTGACCTCGACAGACTGCTACATCATCGTGTCCGGCGCAGCGGTAAGCACACAGTAGGCTGTTCGCTTGTTGATTTCAGCCAGCCCAAACCAGCCAGTCAACAGTATTTTTCTCTCACAAAAAACCAGCACCAGCCAGCCCAAACCAGCAACAGCACCAACCAGCGAACATGCCCAGTAATTCACACCTACGTCTCTGTCTGTCAATAACCTTATCCTTGCTCCAACATTGTTTTTTATCCCGTTCCTTCTGCTTGCTTACAACAGGACGTGTTGACAACTGCTGCTGATGGAACAGAGAAGGCAAGCCATTCGAACGCTAAACATCATGAGTGACTGAGCGTCAATTTCTTTCTTTTCTTTGCTCAGTAACGTGAAACTCAGTCATGAAAGAAACTTCAGTCGCTTTCTTGGCTCTTTTTTATGCCAGCGAGAGTTTTGATCAGCTGTGGTGTGGTGCCCTCTTTCAGCTGGTGATGAAGATCGGGCCACACGGCATGGCAGGGGAAATGGGCGTCATTTTGGGCGTCCCGCAGCCGTTCACCGTCCGTAGCAGCAGGCTCACGCAGGCCGTGTGCATCAGCCTCAGCCATCTTCTGCAGCGTTCCAACACTGCAGATGCCAACACCGTTTACGCCAATTTTGTTCAGCACCTCAAGTCTCTCAAGGAACAAGTTTCAGCGGATGCGCCGCTTTTCGAGGAAATCCTTTCCAAAACAAGCATGGTAAAAAAAATCGAAACTTGCACCGTGAACTCTGAAACTTGGTGTGCAACATGTCTTGTTTGCCCAGGATGAGCTTCAGATCCGCTACATTTTTCAGATGCAGCATAAGAACGGTGACGGCGCCAGGATGGTTCCAAGCCAGGATCAGAATGCCAGCTTTGGCACCGAGCAACACGAAGAGACTGCATGTTGCCGCGTCGACAGCACGGACTACGAGTGGTGATTCATGATCGCTTCCCCAGCCATGGCACCGAGAAGCAACGGAGCCGTGCTGCGGGGAAGCTCGTCCTCCTTCCGGATTCGCTGCAAGAGCTGATGAAAGTCGCTGAGGCAAAGTTCGGGAAGGCGGCGAGGCGGGTGCTCACCGTCGACGGCGCCGAGGTCGACGACGTTGCCGTTCTAAGGGACGGAGACCACCTGGTGTTGTGTTGGTAGGACTGACCATTAGAATGTTGCAAGTAGTACAAGCACGCGCAAAGCGTTTCACCTCTCCCTATTCTCGAAATTTTACGAAAGAGAAAGGGTGACAATAAAGTTGAGAAAGGGTCTATTAGCGCCATCCGTGTCGGAGCTACAGGCCTTTGACAAGATCTTCGACGGCAACCTAACTGCGTCCAACGTCGAAGCGCTGGACGCGCTCTTCCCGGACGGTGGAAAAGGCTAGTCTAGACAGCCACGAAGACCCAAGGCCACCTCCTAGGTCGCACCGCTGCGTCGGTTTTGGTTGTTTCTTTTTATGTAATATCAAAACTAGAGATCTTCTACTAGGATATGATGGTCGACCTCCTTTGGCGCTCGATAGATGCGTGTTGTCTCTATGTTTAAACTTATTTTCTTAATACAATGATACGCAAATCTTTTACGTATACGAGAAAAAAGACAATAAAGTTGAGAAAGGGTGAAACAAAAGTTGGATGATGCAATTTCGCCAAGACCTCATGATGTAGATTGAGATGGAACATCCATCGTCAATGTATAGTTTTTAAGACTACCAATAGTTTTTAAGACTGCCAACTTATGTGAATTGAGATGGAACATCCATTCTCAATGCATAGTTTCATTCTATTGTTTTATAGACATTAAATTTTATGGCTCACGTGAAGTTAGTAATCGTGGCAAAAGAGTTTCATCTAGATAAAACACACTTGTCTCCTCTTAGAAACATTGTCATATCATCAAAAACATCTATGTGACAGCTTATTAAATACAAATAAAATTCACGTGAAACTAACACTAAAACTGGCCTGAAAAACTATCCCCAAAAATCACATGGTAGCATATAAATTTCATAAAAAAGCATCCTAGATTTATAACCCTACATCTCAAAATAAATGCACAATACTTATGATACCAAATAAAATTTAAGAGATTATTAATCACGCCATATTTTAAGACACAAATGTTAATATTATTTTCTATAAATTTAGTCAAACTTAAGATTGTTTGACTCCTTGAAATACAAAAAATGTTCACTTGATTTAGGACTGAGGGAGCAGTTCCTAATCACGGTGAGAGTAAAAGGGTTTCAGGAAAAGAATATGCAACCGTTGGGGAAGTGCACTGCATGTCTGCATGCCTCATCAAAGTGTGGAGTTTTTTTTTTTTGAGATTAAGTGTGGAGTTTTTGTGAGCACCGCTGGAATACCGAAAGGCCCCGGGAGTCTCAGTTCCAAAAAAAAAGAAGTAAAATGCAGCAGTTATAACCAAGTACAGTAAGCACTACGAGCTATCAAATGATATTACTATCTTGAAATCACATGTCAGTAAGCAGGTAGCCATATACAGTAATCAAAAGAGCAGTAATATTTTGCTTAGCATTGCTGAGAAAAAAAAGAAACACGTATGAGAATTATACAACAATCTGCGCTGGTTGTTGCAGATATATTCCCTGCTAATTCCTTTCTCTAGGGATTTGGGTACTCACAATACTAATATCAGCACCTACAGAGTTAATCATAACCACCTGTCTAACATGTGGATTCATCTATCGACATGAAAAGCCCAATTTCGTTCCTGAAACAAAAAAAGTAAACAAGTCATCACCCATGTTCCAACTTGCAACATGAAATTTACAAGACAACAAAATAGGCGCACATTCCAGGGAACTAACTACTTGGACAACCACAAGTTGAAAATATTCGAGGTCCTAACAAAAAGAATGTGGATGTGGATTTTGATGACAATATTTTCTAGCATCTATACCACATAAAAGACCAAAGAGAAGTTATTGGACTGTGATTTCAAACCACAAGCAATCCATGAACCATTTGGTGAAAATCCAGAGGTTACATCACCCATCATCTCGTAAATGCAAACATAATCGAACCCAGGAAAAGCCAAAGGGCAGCAGCCAACTCAACTAGTTGTGTGTCAACCACGTAGAACAGATATTTCGTCTTTCAAATAAGGAAAAAGTAAGATGCAACTACCATATAAAGTCATGACTCACAGGTGTTTGTCAACCTGAACTCTAAAGCTTGATACAGAACAGATAATGTTTGGGAGACGCCCATGAAGATGCATTCAGGACGATGTCTCAGCCATGCCCTCACAAAGTAACCAAATTTTAAACAATATACAGGAAACTTGTGTCACAGTTTTGAACCAAACAGGCCAAGAGTACAAAGGACTCATGAACACAACCCATTTCTTAAATTTTAACAAGTTTAAGGTAGCAAAACATATCAACCGAAAGCTCAATTACTAAGCAAAACTTTGTTTCAGCATAATTGACAAAATAGAGAATGAGGCTCCTCTGCACTCAGCAACATTTCTGATTCTCAACATAAGTTCAAGCAGTGCATTATATCACAGTAGCTTATGACTACCTTGAAACTGATCCCTTTTCTCCAAATTATAGGTCATTTTATCTTTGTCCTAATTCAAACTTCTCCAATTTTGACCAAGTTTTTAGAAAAATATTTCTAACATCTACAGGTTCAAATAAATGCACTATCAAGACAATATTTCAGGGAGAATTTAATGAAACTGCATTGGTGTCTAGATATTGATGCATTTTCTATAAACTTGGCCAAGTTTAGATAGTTTAGGAGCAAGCTAAAGTGACTTATAAATTGGAACAGAGGGAGTAGCACTCATCCCTCTTTCCACCACAAATACTTGAAAAGGTCATCGATAAAAGAAACACAACCCTTAATATGTCATGCCAAATGAAACACACAGATATGACAGCTTGGATAGTACTTCTTTCATATGCGAGTATGCGACACATGATGACATTTCAACTTGTAATCTTTTGAGAAGATAAGTAAATTATACATGAACTTGATTTCACCAAAGAAATCAGATATTCCGGTAGACTTGAGAACTTTCAGATTCAAGTGTAACAAGCTTGTAATACAGTACCCATGGTTGTTCTAGCAAATAACTGAACCATATTGAACCTATCAATCAAAAGCATCAACAAAAGTTCAAGTGGCACAACAATATCTTTGAGGCCAGAATTTGAATACTTCAGTAAAAAAAATACTTGATCAGGAATACTTCAGTAATAGCAATATTGATCTAATTTAGCATATGTTGCCATCAAGTGGCACAAGATTTCAATCTCATAAAAAGCTAATCACAGATTTAAGAGACTAATTGACAATCATTTGAAATTTGAAGAATTCTGCGCTCTACTAATTTCCTTGGCAATTCTAACAATGGAAATGTAAAGAGAACAAGTCACTTCCGTACCGGGAATGGATATCGCTACTTGCCTGATTTGTTTGGTTCAGCCGATAGGGAGGGGTATATCTGGCCGGAACCTATAACGCTCAATCGTGGGCAGGAATGATCTTAAATAGCGTGGGATCCGATACCACCGTAAGCTGATTACAGCTAGTTACAACCAAACACAAAATAACGGCATCGGGGGACGTTGCGAACTATTTACAGCGCAAAAAGGAGTAACCAAACACCACCAAAATACAATGTCAAAAAATGTGAGTCCCAACATTACTCTAAATGGCGAGTTATCAAGGGTGCCGCATGATGACTTTATATGCAGACATGAAATGATGGGAGTACCTATATAAGGGCCAAAATCCTTCTCGAATTGCCCTTCCAGACAAAAAAAGGATGATGTAGCTTTAGTTTAGTCGAATTAACATTCCAGACACATAAAAGGATGATTCAGTTTTAGTTTACTCAAGCATCAAAATGTAATGATACACATAAAGGTTACAATAAAAATGACCTGGCACTTTGCTTTAGCAAAATATTGCATTTAGCATAAGCTGCTGAGATAAGTAAACTAACCTCATTTTGAAAGCTTCTAGGCTGTATGCTAAGGAGAAGCATCCATGGCACCATTGTTTTGCTCATCACCACCATCCTCCAACCTCTTACCATCGCCAACATCCCCATCTTCCTCCGCATCACTCTCATCCTCATCCTCATTACTGAGACGAGCAATCTCCGCTTGCGCCTTCTCCAAAATCTCCCTCCACTTTGCATCTAGGTCCCTTTGCAAATCCCTCCTCATTTGCTCCACCTCAACCATGTGCTGCCTCTTGCTACTCTCCATCCTCACAAAAACCTCCTCAAACTTCTGAATTGACTCTGTGAGAGCCACGAACCCATTTCGATCCACTTGAACAGCACTATTTTTCTGCGGTTCCCGTTCACCCAATTCCGCACCTGACCCTGAAACCCTGGGACCTACGACATCCCCGCCACCACCAAGAAGACGCTCAGGAGGTTTCATCCCCCACTGAAAGCGCCGCGATGGCTGCCTGTCACGACGGCGCTTTGCAGCCAGAGGCAGCAACTGGAGAGGCAGCGGAGGCGGAGGCGGGGCAGGCAGCGGCAGCGGGGACGGGCACAGAATTGACACCATCTTGTCGTAGTAGACCCATTTGGAGGGGGAGGGCCCGGAGCGGCGCGAGGCAAGACGCGCTCTCTCCCTCTCCTTCTTAAACTTCTTCCTAAGCGTGTCCACTCGGTTGCGGCACTGCGAATCGGAGAAATACCCCGCGGGACGGTCCGCGGCAGCGCACACGCGGCGGGCGACCTCGAGCCACTCGTCGGCGCGGATGATGCTGCGCCCCGCGCGGACGAAGCTGTCGCCCCAGGCGTCGAGGAGGGCGAAGGTGGAGCGCTCCGTCCACTCGGGCCCGGAGCGCTTGGGCTTGTCGGGGAGCGGATCCTCAGGGAGCTCGTATGGCGCGAGTCGCGGGGCGAACTCGAAACCGAGAGCGTACCGGTCGGTGCGGCGGCGCTTGGTGCGCGGGGAGGAAGGCGACGGTGAGGCGCCTGATGAGGAAGCAGAGGATGGGGAGGGGGAGGTCGACGGCGAAGGGGACGCGGCGGCGGCCGCGTCGTCGCTCATGGGCGCGGCTAGGGTTTCAGGTTCGAGGTTGGTGGAGTTGTTCAGCGAGGTGGGCTGGCCGGGACCGGTAGGAATCCGGCGAGTTTGGGGCAGGTCGCCCGCTCCTCCGTGGGGCTCACCGCGACACTGTAGCCAATGTACTGCGACTCCATACGGGGAATTATAGATAGATCGATACCAAAATAAAAGTTTGTCCTTTTTAAAAGTACAACGGACCATTTTTCTTTTTACAACAACGCAGGTAGGTGAGTTTCAGGGTCTGTTCGGCAGGACTGAAAAATACTGTTCTTGTTGATTATTGTGAGAGGAAAATACTGTTTTGGCAGGACGTGAATAGTGATTCTGTGAGTTGGCTGATCAGCCAACCAACCGGCTTAAAGCCAGCCGAACACGCCCTTAGGCGTTCGGGGGAAAGCTATAATATATTGGATTTTTTTTGACACGGCTAAAAAACAGCTGTGCGTATTTAAGGTGCTCCGCACGTTTGTCTTCAACCTCTGACTCCTTTTTCCTTGCGCCGCCCTTTTCCCCTTCTTCCTCCTCACCCTCGTCGTCGCCCCGCCTCATCGTGGCACGCTAGGGCTTGGCCGGATAGGTCGCAGAGCACTGGCCAAACGCTAGCGCGCCCCTCCCGCCGCCGCCATGACCTCCTTCTCCCCTATCTTCGCCGCCGCGATGCACCCGCCCGACCTGGCCTGGATGCCTCCACCACCGCCAAGGGCCCCTAACCGCCCTCTAGCCATCTCCACTGCCTGGCCGACCTTTCTCCCCCTAAACCTTCCTTTTCTAAGCCCGCCAAAGTTGAGGAAGATGAGAGGGAGAGCTTGCTGGAACCTTAACTCACATATCCAGGAGGAGGAGGACATAACTCGCCGGATTTGCTATGGCCGCCGCCAGATCCGCCCGAAGCCTCCATGCTGCCTCGAATCCGCTCGTCGTAGTTAGGGAGGAGGTCACCGGGGGGAGAGGAGAGTCCATGCCACCACCGGATCCGCTAGCCAGAGTTGGGGAGGATGTCGCTGGAGATGAGAGAGAGAGGTGGGCTTGCGTGTGGGGGGAGACCGAAGGAGGTCGGGGCGTGTGTGCGCGCGGGCCGCGGGGTGCTAAACGCCCGCACGCCTGTAAATAAGTCTTCGCCAAACTTATTTTAGGGAACAAGAATTTATGAAATTGAGAGCATAGTTGCTTACTAATTACACAAAACCATAAAAGAAAGATACAGCGCGGAGCCCCAAATGACATTATTTACCAATTCATACCGTCGATGATTATTACATAGTTATAGAGCTCACCCACACTAAATATCGCCTTTCAATAATTCATGACGGCGTGCCCAAAGGCATAAAAACACTTCACAATTCAATATTAAGGGTACCTCTCATGATAGTTATCGACTAATAAAAAGATAAATTGGAATCCTTACATTAAAGATGTTAGATCCACTAAAGGCCTATACAAATGCAAGGTGCTTAAGAGACACTTGTCGTATATGTATGTATCATTAAGATTTGTTGTACAATAATTCGTACAATGCAACTAGATGTTTTGATAAGCTTGACCACACTATTAGCATACATTAATCAATGTGGTTAAGCATTTTACCCACCTTATTAGAATCATGTGCGCCATGGCGCACACCCAAGGGGCTCTCTTAAACATTGGTCAGCGAGTAGTACTGATGTAGATAAGGCCCGATATTTCGAAAGGTATGATAGCGTCGATTGGTGAAGACTCGACGTTCACGATCTAGGCTTCGAACCAAGACTGATTCAAACCCCAGCAACCGTTACACCACTGCTTCATTGGTTATCAACCATGCGAACGCGATTGACCTCGCCGAGAAGGCTTTCCTGCAAGCGAATCGAGAACACAAGCAAGAACGGGATGAACGCAATCTGAAATTGCAAATAGATATGAGGCTTATGAAAACAAGAAGGAGTTCAAGTCTTTATTCGAAAGGACTAATCACCATAGGCGAAGAAGATTAAGAACTGGGGTCCTGGTTTACAGCAAGCAGCCTTGGTGGCACAGTTGCAGCAAAACGATGTCTGTTTCATGAGGAAATCAAGAACTAAACAAAACTCAAACCCTAAAGAAAGTGACGGCTGCTAATTATAGAGTCTTGGGCGTCACCCCCTTGGACGCGCCCCCTAATGGGGGCCCAAACACGATACATTGTCCAACGGATCAAAAGATGGTGTCGCAGCACCCTGGTAGATTCTGGACGCTAACTTGTTTCGACGATTTCCGTTGAATCTGAAGGGATTTTGATGTGGGACCAGTTGCATTGGCTTTCTTATCTAATTATCTTTCCATCCATATGTGGATCGTCGAAAACGGAGCCCGTATGCGCCCGTGTGACCAGTTTTATGATAGATTGGTCCTAGAACCTGAGATGGGCTCGAACTTGATTTGGGCCTCCACCTTGGCGACTCAAACCGGATGAACTTCGGGCCTCCTTCTCGGTTAGGACAACTTAGCTGATCTCCTCGGCCTCTATCTCCAAGCATGGTCATATGTATGGAGCTTATGTCCCTATCATCCTCCATTTCTTGATGAAAAGCCATCCTCGACGTCGATTGTGCTTGAAACTGATCCTACACAACACAAAGGAGAACGGGGTTGCGAAGACAAAGAGAACTAAAATAATTGTGAGAAGGAACGTGACCATGTTTCCAAGTTTCTAGCGTGTCATCTCGCATAAAAATTTTAGCAAGTATGTAGACTCCATGATCCGAATGCACACGATGTGTGTCAACACTATCCTACAAAAGATTAGAATTAACCAAAGACAATGTAGGAATAGATGGTCTAGCAGACATAGGTAGCAACCAACAATGGTCCCCTTCTTGGAAGTAAACTTATTTCTTTGAGGAACATGAGAAAATGTTTCTATTATTATGGCTGCCCTCTAAACGATCATAATTTTGTACAACAAAAGGAGAATTCATATTACTACGAACGTATACTCGATGTATCATATATTGTCCTTTGTTGTTATATTTGCCAATAACATGATATATGTGTTTAGAAAACTAAGGCAAATCAACATATTTAAAAAGACTCTCCTCCAAACAATTTAGGTTACACAAAACATCAAATTTAATGTAACCCAAATTATGTAAAGAAGACAACAGTTTGAGCTCATTAGTTTTAGTAGCAATATGAATAACATGTTTATTTTCAGCACAAGTGGTTGGTTCCAAAATATGTAAAACTGAAGCATCATCAACCATTTCATCTTTATCACAAGGAACATCAAGTAAAATATCATGGGATAAAGATAAATCAAGAGAGGGTTCCACTAACAATTGCTCTATGATAGCATGGTTTATGAAAAAATTTAGTATATTAAAACAATTCTCACCTTCCGTGAGTGTAGCACCATGGACATTACCTGTGTTCTCAGCAGGAGTAATAGGTGTATTGTGGAGTGATGGTTTTGAATTTGCATATGAGGTTGTGAGCTCCTCATTTTCTTCCATGTCATCCTCTCGCTTATGTACATTATCCTACAGAAGGTTAGTCATAGCAAGAGGAATAACAACAGACTCTTCCTCTAAATAGCGCACCTCAGCATATGAAGTCAAAACAAGAGATGGATTAACAAAGGTTTCTCGCATAAGGAGTTTCATATCATTCCAAGTTTGAGGTTTATCAGAAGGATCTAAAGACTCCCACCAAGATAAAACATAATGTCGTAAAACACTAGCTGTATTTTTTCCCTTCCTCCTTGGACACATAAAGCGAGTAGCAAATATGTTATCTATGGCAATTTCCCATTCCATGTACTCATCAGCACCTATACCATCATAAGTCGGTGGATACGAACAACCTGTCATTATTAGAATCAAACAAGAAAATACACAAGTGTGTATTTTCCTATCAACTACTATAGGATGTGGTCAAGGAGTAAAGTCACACACTCTCAAGTGTCTTACCACGGTCTTACAAGTGTTCTTACCAAAACAACAGGCGGTGCAATCGGTCGATGACTGTGATACAGTTGTACCTTGAGTGTAACAGTTGCAAGGCGAACCTATACTTGGTTAAAAGAAAGTGGAGCTTGGACAGGCACAATATAGTAGCAAGGAATAGCAATATTCACAACTGAATAGCAAAGCTAAATAAGTATCCCGAGTACTTGTCTTAGTTGCTGGCCTACTCACGTTCTAAGTACCATATGTATCAAGTGATGTGAACAGCAGGAATATGATTAGGAACAAGGCAGAAATTAGCACATGCAAACACAGCTCAAATCGTGCTCTCTATGTGCTCCTCTAGATATTGTTCCACTTTTGCCCCTCTCTTTTTTCTTTATTTTTGGGCTGTCGTTGTTTTTTTTTGGATTCTTTGACTTTGACTTTTTCTTTTTCTTTTTTCTTGATATTTTTTTCACTTAGGAGCACAAAAGAAGTAACCATAGAAAATATGAGTTTAAACAAGTGAAAGGCGTGGCCCGTGGAAAATTTAGAAGACGTGCTCAAAATTGACGAAAAGCTTGTGACCACAAAAAGAGGATCTTGTGACCAGTTTTTGGCCAAAATAAAATTTTCTAAACCTAGCAAAGTAGGGGACAGACGGATCCAAAAAAAATCTGATCGATTTTGATATATGGAACGTCGAAATCCGAGTTCGTATGTAAAAACTAGACCAGTTTTAAGAACTGACTCTGAATTAAAGAACAAAACGGGAACAATGCGCGCAAAAGTTGTTGTGGCAGCTATGGATAGATGCAAATAGTAAAGACAAGTGTAACAAATTAGATGACGTGGACTAGGGTTTGATGGATACAAAGGAAACACAGCAAGACTTGAAGGTGTTCACGGATTATGATGAAAAACAAAGAGAAAGACACAAACTGGACTAAAACGATCTGAAACCAGCAAACAGAACTTGTCCTAGGACACAAACTCAACAACGCGAAACAGAGACAAAATTGCACGGCACAATGAGGCTATAGGACAGGGAATATGTGGTGGTGTATACTTTTTTTTGCT